GCGTGCCAGGTCCTCGTGATCAACCGGACAACACTGTCCACGAATACACACACTCGTGCACCAGCAGTGAAACACAAAGAAGAAAAGGAAGAACCGAGAGAGAGAGAGAGAGAGGAAAGGAGAAACGAGGCTGGGCAAGATCGAGACTCTTTATTCTCGTATCAGCAACGGGGAACGATGGAAACGACGTGGCCTATTATGAGCCGATCGTGTGAGACACAATGATCAATGCCAACCGTGGCTGTGTGGAGAGCCGCTGAATGGAGGAACGCCGCACGGGATTATGGCAGAGGAGAGGGCCACCGAAGATCGACAGGGCCGATTACGTCCGCGATGACTTTAAGCCCCCTTTAAACGCTGCCATTCTTTTCGTCCGGGCCAGGCTTGACCCCGTCTATCGAGGTATCCGTGCGCCGATTTTCTCATTCCCCCTTTCTTTCTTTTTTTTCTCCTGCCGGCTTTCTTTCTTTCTTCCTTCAGCTACCTCCCCTTTCTTTACTCCGTGTCCTCTCCACTTCGTTGCGTGGGATATGCACAGTGGACGGGGTCCCGGAAGTGCCGTCTCTTGGGGGTCGTGTCTCGATTTCTGCGGGCAGGATTTGTACCTCCTTTTAGCTCACCTTTTATTTCACCTGCGAGAAGAGTAGTTGGAGTTCAGAGAATCGTAATTCTGGTAACTGGAGCGGTTCCGGCGACGTTTCTTATCTTCTTTCTTCTGTTCTTTATTTATTTTTTTTTTTTTTTAGAAGAATATGCAGTTGGAAAGTAGTAATTTTAGAAACTGGAGATTGGAGTACGCAGTTGAAAGGTAACAATTTCAGAAATTGGAGAACAGAGTGCTGGAAATAGCTGTTTCATTATAGGATTAATTTCGTAGACAGCGAATTGGAATAATCACCGAAGGGACAAAGTGTTCGTTCCTCTTTGTGAGTTTCATTGTTAGATTCCAGGAGGCACACGGTTCCTTTTTGTGCCTCGAGTTAATTAATCGAGGTAGCTTCTTGATGTCGCTACAAAGACCGATGGTCTGCGGGAGTTCGGCTGGTCGATCCCGTTTCCCGAGAGAACAAAGATTTCTACATCTAGGAAATCTCAGCTGCTTTCGATTCACCGTGAAGCGAGCAAAAAGGCCGGTGACTCAGCTCTGCAAAGAGAAATCAGGCGACAAATCGATCGGCGGACTTAATCCTACGGTATTCGTCCACCTGCCTGAGAAATCTATTTTTCTGCATTATCATTCGATCAAGTGAAACCTTCTTTACACTCCTCTTATTACTCTAATTACAAAAAATTCGTAGGAAGAAGAAAACGTTTACCAGCAACGTGTGCCCAAAAAATTCCAACTAAGTAAACAAAACTTCCGACGTTATGAAAATTCACAGGCAACAATTGCAACTTAAATAAATCGTATCGTGTAAAGAGACGATTAGAGAGATATTTCAATTATTGGAAATGGGTTATGAAAATGAAATAGTTTTTTTAACTTTGTAATATACGATTTATTTACGGTCTCAGAGGAAACGTCTTTACTCTATTGAATCTTCTGAAGGACTGTATCTGGGCACCCAAAAAGAAAGTTGGGGTCCCCTTATACCTAGAAA